GTGAGTGAGTGAGTGAGTGAGTGAGTGAGTGAACTCCCTCTGGGAAGTTATGTGATGTGTGATATATTGGAAGGAAAGCCATTTGAAAATGGTATAATTTAAACCTAAGATTAATTTTGGGTCTTAGGTATGCTGAGGACAGGTTTTCTGAAGAAACCACACAGCTGATTTACAATGGTGAGTATAGTAGAGTCCCTGATTTTCCTCCTGTTCTTCTACCTGCACAGGTATGGTGTTATGTGTCTTTGAGTGTGCACATGCATGCATAAGAATGTCTAAGGCCTTTAAACTCTACAAAACACCCTGTAGAGATCACTAAGAGGCCCAGGCAGTGCAGACGAAAGCATGAGTGCCTGTCCAGAGTCCAATACTTATTCTAATACTTATAGGTCAATTTCTGTTAGCTGTTGCTCAGCTAATCAGCATTGCTTTAGGAAAAGAACTTCATAAAAGTGTGCATTTATGTGTACCTGTTTATGTTTTTAAGTGCATACCCCATGTGCTTATTCTTTGATGGGGGCTTGTGCTCATGATAGTGATATGAGGCAGGTTAGTTATAGGTGAGTACATGTGTATTCTTTCTGAATCTAAACATGAATGTGCTTACCGGGGTAGTATATTGACAATCAAGGAGTCCTGACAGTGTAAAGGCTAAACAGTCAGATCCTAACCAAAAAGTCAGCAGTTTAAACGTACAATGAGGGAAGCAATTGTACAAGACCTATACTGGTTGCAGCTTCGGAAACCTATGGGGCAGTTCTACTCTGTCCTGTAGGGTCACTATGAGTTGAAATTGACTCAACAACACACAACAACAAACAACAATATATTTATAGTTGAAGTGATTTTCAACTAAGTGGATATTTGATGTGATTGTGTGGTTGTACAAGGAAGAACATCCATAAATATTTGCCTATGCTGTGGTGTGTGTGCACGTCTGTGTGAATGTGTGTACCCTAACCTGCCTGCCTCTGATCTTTGTTCGGTTGCTTGACAGGGTGTCCTAGCCATGGGACCAGTTTTGAAGATGACTTGACTCTTGGAGCAGAGGGTAAGAGGAACGGCTCTCTGAGACTGTAATCAGGGATGCATATCTTGGATGAATTAAAAGTAACTGCAGAAAGAAATAACCCACTTTGGGCACTTTATATTGGAAAGAAAAATCTTCATTTTGATCTAATGTAAAACATAGAAAGTATCATGTGCCCAGAAACACATCCTCACTCGCCTATCATTACACCCACTAGTCCATCATGGAAGCTTTCCTTTGACCCCTTGAAAAATAAGTGAAAACCTTACATTTGCTGCATGTCTTTGTAGCTGTTTCTGTGTAAGAAGGCTCAAGTACCTAAGAGTACTGGATGTAAGATAGAGAGTGAACTGCAGGAGGATACGGGCTTGAATAAGGAAAGGAGGCACCATAATCTACTAGTGGCTCCTGGAACTAATAGCCATTCATGTGGTGGGATAGAAAGAAGCACCAGCCTGGAGGGTTGAGTACTCTGTCTTCATTCATGAGAGAGGGACTCTTACCCAGAATACCAATCATGAATCCCATACAGAGGCTCACATCCAGGTGTCCTTTGCCATACACAACCCTTTCCGGGGCTGTGCTTAGTGATCGTAAGCTACCCTTAAAATGAGACAACTCCATAAAGTGCAGTCAATCTATCATAGTGGTGGAGGTAATTTTTCCTGCTAACTTGCTCATTGCCTTTTGTTCTTTGTCCAGCCACCCTGTTGGCCGCCAATGGCAAACGCTTCTCCAGGTAAGTTTTAGGTTCAGCCAGTGCCAGATGATATCTCCTTCGGGAATGAATGGATTGGGTTAGGAATCGGGACAAAGATATAGGAAACAAAGAACTAAATATCCTAAGAAGAGAGCTAAAGTTTCCAACCAGGAATGAGGGAAGGACCGTGTTTCTTCAGCAGAGGGTGAAGTATTCGTTGTTGTTGTTGTTGTTGTTGTTGTTGTTGTTGAGCTATTAAGCTGGTTCCAAATCATAACAACCTTATGCACAACAGAATGAAACACTACCCAGTCCTGCTCCATCCTCACAATTTTTCTTATGTTTGAGCCCGTTGTTGCAGCCGCTATGTCAATCAATCTTGTCCAGGGCCTTCCTCTTTTTCACTGCCCCCCTCCTTTACCACACAGGATGTCTTTCTCCAGGTCATCTTTCCTGACAACATGTCCGAAGTACCTGACACAAAGTCTCACCTCCTTGCCTCTAAGGAGTCTTCTAGCTGGACTTCTTCCAAGACAGATTTGTTTGATCTTTTGGAAATCCATAATACTTACAATATTTATATCCAGCACCATAATTCAGATGCATTGATTCTTCTTCCTTATTCAGTGTCAAACTTTCACATGTATATGAGGTAATTAAAAATACCATGGCTTGGGTTAGTTACACCTTCGTGCTCAAAGTAACATCCTTGATTTTCAACACTTTAAAGACGTCTTGTGCAGCAGATTTACCCAATGGAATATGCCCTTTAATCACTTGACTGCTACTTCCATGAGGATTGTGGATCCAAGACAAAAAGCTTAACAACTTCAACCTTTCCTCCATTTATCATCCATGCTGAAGGCTGCAATCCTTGGTCTTCATCAGCAAGTAAGGTGATGTCATCTGCATAGAGCAGATTGCTAAGAAGCCTTCCTCCGATCCTGATGCTGCATTCTTCTTTATATAATCCGGCTTCTCTTACTATTTGCTCTGTGTACAAACTGAATGACTGTAATGATAGGATACAACCCTGATGCATATCTTTATGGATTTTAAACCATGCAATATTCCTTCATGAATGTCTGTGTTCACACAACTGCCTCTTTTTTTAAAATCATTTTACTGGGAACTCTGACAGATAGCATAACTTTCCACAATTCAATCACATCAAGCAATATTATACAATTGCTACCACACTCAGTTTCAAAACATTTTCTTTCTTCTTTAACTCATTGATAGCAGGTCCCCTTTGTCCACTCTCTCCCTCAC